CAGAATGTGGACAGTACAGTGTTTGACTCTTAGAAAATTGTAAGTTGTCAAAAATGAAAAGGTATGCATAAAGATTGATATCCTAGGCGTTAGTGAGCTGAAATGGAGTGGTACTGGCCATTTTGAATCAGACAGTCATATGGTCTTCTATGCTGTGAATGACAAATTGAAGAGGAATGGTGGCACATTTATCATCAAAAAGAACGTTTCAAGATCTATCCTAAAATACAGTACTGTCAGTTATAGGATAATATCCATATGCCTACAAGGGAGACAAATTAATACTACTATTATTCAAATTTATGTACTAACCATAAAGCCAAAAATGAAGAAATTGAAGATTTTTACCAACTTCTGCAGTCTGAAATTGACTGAACATGCAATCAAGCTGTATTGTAATTACCAGTGATTGGAATGCAAAAGTTGGAAACAAAGAAGAATCATTAGTAGTTGGAAAATATGGCCTTGGTGATAGAAATCATGCCAGAGATCACATGATAGAATTTTGCAAGACCAACGAGTTATCAATTGCAAATACCTTTTTCAGCAACATAAACAGCAGCAATGCACATGGACCTCGCCACATGGAATACACAGAAATCAGATTGACTACGTTTGTGGAAACCACATTAATGCCACTTGCAAGTAAAATTTTGCGGAAGATAATTCAATGATGGTTGCAGCAGTATATTGATAGGGAATTGTTAGATATTCAGACTGGATTCAGAAAAGTATGTGGAACGAGGGATATCATTGCTGTTGTGAAATGGATCTTGGCTGAAATAAAAGAATACCAGAAAGATGTTTACCTGTGTTTTATTGACTGTGCAAAGGCATTTGAGTGGAAACAGGCAGTGGTGAAGCTCATTGTCCTTAGGCCAGGAGCTGGCTATGAAACAGACCATCAACTACTCATATGCAAGTTAAGGTGAAGCTGAAGAAAATTAAAACAAGTACATGAGACCCAAAATATGAACTTGAGTATATCCCACCTCAATTAAGAGACCACCTGAAGAATATATTTGACACATTGAACACCAGTGACCAAAGACCAGATGAATTGTGGGATGACATCAAGAACATCAAACATGAAGAAAGCAAAAGGTCATTAAAAAGATAGGAAAGGAAGAAAAGACCAAAGTAGATGTCAGAAAAGACTCTGAAACTTGCTCTTGAACAGGGAGTAGCTGAAGCAAATGGAAGAAATGACAAGATAAAAGAGCTGAACAAGAGATTTCAAAGGGTGGCTCGAGAAGACAAAGTAAAGTATTATAATGAAATGTGCAAAGACCTGGAGTTAGAAAACTAAAAGGCGAGAACACACTTAGCATTTCTCAAGCTGAAAGAACTGAAGAAAAACTTCAAGCCTCGAGTTGCAATATTGAGGGAGTCTGTGGGCAAAATATTGAGTGACACAAGAAGCATCAAAAGAAGATGGAAGGAATACACAAAGTCACTCTACCAAAAAGAACTGGTTGATTTTCAGCAGTTTCAGGAGGCAGCATATGATCAAGATCCAATGGTATTGTAGGAAGAACTCCAAGCTGCACTGAAGACATTTGCAAAAAACAAGGCTTCAGGAATTGACAGGACACCCATTGAGATATTTCAACTGGAGGTGCTTACTTGTTTATGCCAAGAAATTTGGAAGATAGCTTCCTGGCCAACAAACTGGAAGAGACCCATTTTTGTGCCCATTCAAAAGAAAGGAGAAAATGGAAATTATGAAACAATATCATCAATACCACATGCAAGTAAAATTTTGCTGAAGATAATTCAATGATGGTTGCAGCAGTATATTGACAGGGAACTGCTAGACATTCAAGCTGGATTCAGAAGAGTATGTGGAACAAGGGATATCATTGCTGATGTCAGATGGATCTTGGCTGAAATAAAAGAATTCCAGAAAGATGTTTACCTATGTTTTATTGACTGTGCAAAGGCATTTGAGTGTGTGGATCTTAACAAATTATGGGTAACGTTGCAAAGAATGGGAATTCCAGAACACTTAATTGTGCTCATGAGGAACCTGTACATAGAACGAGAGGCTGTTGTTCAAACAGGACAAGGGAACACTTCTGGTTTAAAATCAGGAAGAGTGTGGGTTAGGGTTGTATCTTTGCACCATACTTATTCAATCTGTATGCTGAGCAAATAATCTGAGAAGCTGGACTATATTAATATTAAGAACACGGCATCAAGATTGGATGAAGACTCATAAACAACTTGTGATATGTAGATGATACAACCTTCCTTGTTGAAAGTGAAGATGACTTGAAGCACTTACTGATGAAGGTCAAAGACCACAGTCTTCAGTATGGACTACATTTCAACATAAATAAAACAAAGACCCTCACAACTGGACCAATAAGCAACATCATGATAAATGGAGAAAAAATTGAAGTTGTTAGGGATTTTATTTCACTTGTATCCACAGTCAACACCCATGGAAGCAGCAGTCAAGAAATCAGATGTCGTATTGCACTGAGCAGATCTGCTGCAAAACACCTCTTTATAGTATTGAGGAACAAAGATGTCACTTTGAAGAGTAGGATGCATCTAACTCAAGCCATGGTATTTTCAGTCATCTCATATGTATGTGAAAGTTGGACAATGAATAAGGAAGACCAATGAAGAGTTGATGCCTTTGAATTGAGGTGATGGTGAAGAATACTGAAAATACTATGGACTGCCAGAAAGATGAACAAATCTGTCATAGAAGAAGTGCAGTGGAATGCTCGTTAGAAGTGGGAATGGCCTGACTTTGTCTCACCCCTTTTGGTGATACTGTCAGAAGGGACCAGTCCTTGGAGAAGGATGTCATGCTCAAGTAACATAGTTGTAAAGCAGTTGTTGTGGTAAAGTAGATGGTCAGTGAAAAAGGGGAAGGCCCTCAATGAGATGAATTGACACAGTGGCTGCAACAGTGGGCTCTAGCGTAGCAAGGATTGTGAGGCTGGCACAGGACCGGCCGTGTGAATCAGCACTGACTCAGTGACATCTAACAACAATAATACTTTTGTCGTGGATTGAAGTGTCCCCTCAAATCTGTGTCGACTTGCCTGGCACATGATTCTCAGTGGTCTAGCATTTATGTAATGATCTAATGTGGCAGATATATACTGATCCCCCATGATGTGATCTGATGTGATAAGCCAGTCAAGGGTGGGACGCAACACCCTCAGTCCCATCACAGCCCTGATCCATGTTAAGGCATTTCCCTGAGTGTGGCCTGCAACAGCTTTTATCTTACAGGAGCTAGAAGGAGAGAGGTGGGAGCTGAGATTGGGGGGGGGGGGCACTTACTACCACCAGGAAAGAGCCAGGAGTGGAGCCCATCCTTAGGACCCAGGGTCCCCACTAGGATCCTCCTAGGAGCAAGACACACAGAGAGAGAAAGCCTTCCCCTAGAGCTGGTGCTCTGCGTACAGACTTCTAGCCTTCTGAACTGTGAGAGAGAAAATTTCTGTTTGTTAAAGCCATCCACTAGTGCTATTTCCGTTACAGCACCACTGTAGGACTAAAACAACTTGTCTGTATATTTGAGATACTTTATAGTAAATAACTTAAAAGTAAATTGCCAAACAAATGTTATAACAGTTACACACACATGGAACGTCTCTCTCTCTCATAAGAGTCTGTGGGATCTGCTCTAAAAATCCTGAGTAATACGCTCTGGATCTTATAAAACAAACTTATTGATACTTTAATACAAACCTAATGTCATTTACCACATAGTAGTAGGTTAACTTATTTTCATCTACCCCTTCTGATACTAACATTATGAGAACTACATGGGATTGTCTCATAAATATTAGGTTATGTTGAAACTTAAGCCTAAAATCCATATACATTTTTTAATTTAAAGGAATTCTTAACAGTGAATCAATAAAACTTAGACCTAAGTCTAGTATTCCTCTACAATCTATTACAACTATTGTTATTTTATTTTTTCTTTTAAGTAAGCTAATTTTACTTGAAACAGTTTATTACTTTGTTTTCTCAGTGAGAATCTTAAGGTGTTTGGCCCAATTTTTGTTTTGTAATTGGCACATTGTTAACCGCCCCTCCAAATGATGTTTCAGTGTCTGATCACTTATAAAAGGTTAAACAGAGTTATGTAATAGGATCTTAGTTTTGTGTTAGGTATGATGTAGTTCAAATGTTTATAATAGTTTGGTGCATAATTTTGAATATTTTAATTTAAGAAAGAAAACCCAGTATTTTGCATTATTTTGTTTTTATAATTTTCATGGTGGGCATATCATCAAGTGAAACTATAACTACTTAAAGATATTTTAGGAGTCATGAATACCTAGCAATCTAGCATATCTCTGGGTTTCTTTAGTGGTGAGACCATTTTCATTGCACAGGATGGATGGACTTAAATGGCAGGAACATGACTAGAAAGTAATGTTATATATTTTTAAGTCAGCATGTTGCTAGTGACAGGTGCTCAATGATTGTTGGTATCCTCGTCAGCAGGAATCATTTGACATTAAAGTCACCAGCTCAGTCCTGATTTGGGGCGACTCTATTGGCAGTTCCATCAGGCTGCAGCTGATCAGTGAATGTCAGAACTGCTGCCATTCTTCAAGAGTGTCACCAGCCTTCTGGAGGTTATTATTTTTTTTTTTAAAGGAGAGAGGAGGGTTAGTTTAGCCTGGTTTGTTGTTTAGTCTTAAACAGACTTTCAAATTGCCTACCTTTGGGAAAATGAACCAGGAGGGCATAAGGAATATAGGTGTCTTTAGGGCATGTAAAACCATATACAGAGTGACGACTTAAGTGAAGACTAGTAATGATTACCTTGACTCCAAGCCAATCAATGGTTGGAGCACCTGGGGACTCATTAAATGGCATTTGTGGGTCTATAACCTAGGTTTTGAGCTTTATTTCAGGAAAAGCAGTGACAGCCTTTAATGTCTAATTGACCTCTTCTCTTTGTTTCACTTTCTTTCACTTTCCATATTTGCCTCTGATGTGGTCCCTGATGGCAGCAAACAGCACTGCTCAGCATTTTGAACTTCTGTTCAGAACTTCAGCACCTCAGTTTGGGTAGTTGTGTAATGGTAAGTATTTGAAAATTCTCTATTCATTTTCTTGTTTTCTCTTTCTTCCTCTGTGTGAATTTTATGTTCCCTTCCTGAACCCTCCTACCCCACCTCAGTCTGTCTCACAGTCTTCAGATTTATGGTTAACTACTTTGTTCACTTTCAGACATTTTTCTTATAGTGGAGAGTATGTCTTTGAAACACTGATATTATCTGTGAGAACAAGGAAAGAATTATATCGTGGCTGAAAGAGTTCCATTTTGCCTCAAGCCAGATAATGTCTCATACAAACTACTTAACCTCTCTTGATTTCTTTATAAAATTAAAAAAAAAAAAATTGCCATGAAGTCTATTCCTACTCATAGTGACTCTCTAAGAACCATAGAACTGCCTCGTAGGGTTTCCAAGGCTGTAAATCCTTACAGAAGGAGACTGCCACATCTTTCTCCCACAGAGCAGCTGGTAGGTTGAAAAATCCCATTTTGTTGGCTGCCAAGTACTTAATCACTGTACCACCATGCCTCCTTAAATAAGATATCAAATATACCTAAATGCTAGTAGTTTAATAAGTTTTTCATAAAGCTAAGTTGAGTTTTTAAATTCTGAGATCTTTTTCCCTGGAAATGTTCATGATCAGCAATTTTGTGTGTCTGTGTTTCATTTACTAACTTCACTGGGCAGGACAGAAAGCTGATCACTCTACATTGAAACTCTTTTTTTTTTTTTTTTTTTAACTTGTCTGTGAAATCTAAATGCCTAGGGACTATTAGATTAAGTAATCTTTAAAATCCCTTCCAAACTTGAAATTATGATTTTACATGCCTCTGAAAGAATTTATGGGAAGACTTAAGTATTTTTCACCTAAATTATATGGCTTTTAAACAATACTAAGACTTTAAGGGTCAATAGAATTTTTAGTGTGTTTTAACTTTATGTCAACATTTTTTAAGTTGACTCACAGAATGTTAACCCTTTGGGATATTCAGTTTTGAAAAGATGCTTGTTTGGAGGGGTAGGGATGGTTAGGGGAGATTCTTAATCAATATTAGGAAATGATGCTACTATAACCTACTCTTGGGGTTTCAAAATAGTATGTCTTACAACAAAGAAAATTGTTTACCTTTGCTTACCTGACTACTGAATGCATATTTCCATAGTGCATCTATTAAATGTTGCATTAAATAAATAGGCTATTTTTGAATTGAAGTGTATAGTTCCTAGTAAGATTGTTCCTATTGATATTTGCCAGGACATGAAGTTTTAAGGAATAGACAGTGAAGTTCAAAAATACTGCTAATATTGCTGGTACCACTACTGAAGTCATGATTGAGAGAGCACTACATAGTTGTCATAGAAGTACTGTTTACAACAGGTGTAGGGTTCAGCAGGAGAGTGAGACAGATGGCTCTCAGTTGATAGTTTAATTCCACATTTATCTCGGCTTCTTTTCTGTTAACTGAATAAAGGGCAGATGACTCACTTGATATTGTATTTTTGAATCAAAATAATAGCAATTTTCAGATTTGTTATTTTTTATGACACTTTTGTCCACAAGGAATGCTGTGTTAATTTTGCCCGGTGATTATGACCTATCACATGTCTTCTCTATCATCATTCTCCTAATGGTATTTATTTTCAGTATTGAGTATAATTTTGATACAGAATTAGTTGTGCCATTTTTTTTTCCTGAAATTAATCTTCCACAAGTGCCGGTTTCACAGATTTGCAGTAACAAAAAGTTTGGAAGATAATTGTCCCATCAATAGTAAACCTAGGAATTCTAGTCAGAGCCATAAACGTTTTTGGTAGGACTCTTTGGATTATCCTTTGAATTGGAAAGAGAATTAAAGAAATTAAAATGGTTTATTATCTCTTTGATTTAAAGTTTTATTATCCATTGTAATAGAAAGCAGTGAAAGAATAGATAATAAAATCCCAGAGTAAATAGAGCTTGCTTTAACTATTAGATCCAGCCTTCTTGTTGACCAAATTTTTTAGCAAGTTTGCAGGCAAGTATATTTGCTAGAATTAGATTCACCTGCCATTTACCAAAAAACCCCAATGACTATGGCTTAGATACTTGGAAATTTATTTCTCTTTCATGTAAAGGAAGCATTGGAGGTGAGTGAGCCAAGTTGATAGGGTGAATCTACTCCTGAGACTCCTTAGAGACCCAGACTTCTAGCTTGTTCTGCCAGCCTGGTTATTGTTGTCAGCTGTTGACATGCTGATTCCCATTCAAGGCGACCCCATGTGTGCACAGTGGACCTGCTCCATAGAATTTTCCAGGCTGTGATCTTTCAGCAGCAGCTTTCCAGGGCTGTCTTTCAGGGTATCTTTGGGTAGGTTTGAACTGCCACACTTTCAGCTAGTAGTCCAGTACTTATCTGTTTATGCCAACCAGGGATTCCTACCACCATCCTGGAGGTCACACATTCGACTTCATGGTTCAAAACAGAGTTCCAGGAGTCACATCCCTATGTCAAGTGGTAGAGTATAAGACAGGGAAAAGGACACTTTCTAGAAGTTGCGTACCTTTTGAGGCTTATATCCTATTCTCTAGAACTTAATCATATGACATAGTTTATAGCATGGAAAGCTAAAAACTACAAATTTTACTCGGGTAGCTACCATATGCTTCATAAAAATCAGAATAAAAGTTGTTGTTGGGTGCTGTTGTCAATTTTTGACCCATAGCAACCCCATGTGACAGACCAGAACTGCCCCATAGGGTTCCTGGACTGTCATGGAAACAGATTGCTAGGTCTTTCTCCTGTGGATCTGCTGGGTGGGTTCAAACTGCCAACCTTTCAGTTTCCAATCAGCAGCCAAGTGCTTAACCAGTGAGTGACATTAATGAACTGAGCATTATATTTCTTTTTTACCCAATCAGTCCCAGGAAGAGGGGGAAAACAATAAAATAGCCCATTATAGCCCTAAGAGAATGAGAAGTAAAAAATGCATATAATACTGTAACTTGATAATCAGCCTCTGAGTCTGTGCTATCCAATATGGTGCCTACTAGGTACATGTGGGTACTGAGCATTTGAAATGTGGCTAGTCCAAATTGAAATGTGAGGCAAGTGTAAAATATAACCAGATTTTGAAGGCTTAGTACAAAAAAAAAAATGTGAAATGTGTCAATATTCTTGTAATTACATTTGAAATGATGATATTATAGATGTGTTGGGTTAAATAAAATATGTTCTTAAGCTTAATCTTACCTGTTTCTTTTTACTTTTTAATATGACAGAAAATTTTATATATGTAATTTCCATTATATGTCTATTGGATAATGCTGTTCAAAGTAATTTGAAGTTGGCTAAAATACAGAATTGTAAAACCTAGTTTACCTCTTCTTAGGTTCCTACTAATTGTGTCATCCTGGTCAAGTCACTTAATTTCTTGGTGAGAGTTCCTCTGTGACATATATCAAATTTTTTTGTAACTAGTGATAATGAGTGAGAAAATAAATGCAAAATATTTAGTCTCTCAGGGAAAAAGAGTTCTGTGTAATTACTCTATGTAATTCAGAAGGAGATTGTAATTAGTAATTGCCTTCAGTCCAGTAAAAAGTGTTTGGTTTGGTTCTTATTTGCCCAGCCCTGAATTTCTTTATGCTTGGTGTGTTTAACAATGCTGTGAATATTCCATAACAAAAACCCTTGAAGGAATTGCTCACTATACATTATGCTGATAGAGAATTAGTCCATATGTCCCTGAGATTACCCTGATCCAAATTCAACACAATCAGAATCATGGGTTACAGAAAGTGTTTTAATTGCTTCTCTCAGATCTGACTCGCCGGCAGTGGGTATAAGGAAGCTCACTGGCTGAACTATCAAAGCTATAGATTTATGTTGTTCAAGTATACTCACTTAAGGAGATAGTTTTATTACCCCAAACCTATGTCTCCTAAAAAAAAAAAATCACTGCTTTTGAGTCACACAATAGGGTAGTGTTTCGTTCTGTTGTCCATAGGGTCACTATGGGTTGGAATTGACTTGCTAGAACCTAACAACAACAGCAATAACACATTGCTCCTAGTCTTCTGTATGATACAATCATACATATACATAATTGCCTGACGACCAAAAACTTAGGATCATTGATTCCATACTTTTCCATCTTTGGTTCTGACACCAATTTATATCCCCAAATCTGTCTATAACTCCAGTTCTGCTGCTACCACCTTAATCCAAGCCCTCATCATCTTTGCTCTGAACTATTGCAGGCCTCTTGGCCTGGGCTTCGCCCTCCATTCTTAGTCACCGTAGTCCATCCTCCAGACAGCAACCAGAGTAGTGGTGGTTTTTGTTCTAATGTAAATAGTATTACATCACTCTTCTGCTTAGAAACCTTCATTGATTTCCTGCAGTACTTAAAATAAAAATCTAAACTCCTTCCATGGCATAAATGGTTTGGCACCTGCATAACTCTGTGCCCCCCTTCTCGGCTTTCTCCTTCACTACCCTTGGGTTATACCAGTCCTTTTTCTGTTTCTTGGATGCAGCAAGCTTAGTCTTGTCTCAGGTGCCTTTGCATTTCTGTGCCTGCAGAGCTTTTTTTTCATGGTTGGCTTTTCATTCATGAGCTCTCTGATTAAATGTCATCTCTTCAGAGAAGCCTTCTCTGGAAATTCCAACAACCACCATCCCTTTCCCTCAGCTCCTGACACTGTTCATTCTCATGTCACCCTGTTTTATTGTTTTTGCACCACTTATCACTCTCTGAACTAATTTTGCTTATTTTCTGTATGTCTTTCCCCAGAATATGTGAATGAAGTCTTTATGTTTCTTTGATTGCTTTTCCCAGCATCTGGACTAGTGCAGCACAAAAAATAAAAAATAAAAAACCAAACTCATTGCCACCGAGTTGATTTCGACTCATAGTGACCACTCCTTGAGTTTCTGAGGTGGTACATCTATGGAAGCAGATTGCCCAGTCTTCCTCCTGAGGAGTGGCTGGTGGGTTTGAACTGCTAGCCATCTGATTAGCAGTCAAATGCCTTAGGCTCTACACCACCAGAGCCTCCAGTGTAGCGTATAGTGGGTGCATAAATAAATGTTTGTTGAATAAATGAATAAACAAATGAAGATGGGAAAGGTAATTAATGGAAATGTTTGCTATTTTGTTTCTCTTAGACTTCTGGTGATAATTTTGACACCTGCTTATAAGAAGATCAAATGAACTTCTTAAGTGAACCCATTTAAAGCAACAGTATGAAAGCATATGAAGCCCAAAGATGGAAATGTTTAATGTTTAATTAGAAGACCTTTATCCTATGTTGTTGTTATGTGCCGTCGAGTCGGACTCGACTCATAACGACCCCTCCTTGGGTTTCTGAGGCGGTATCACTCCAGAAGTAGATTGCCCCATCTTCCTTCCGAGGAGTGGCTGGTGGGTTTGAACCGCCAGCCTTATGGTTAGCAGTCAATTGCCTTAGCCACTGTGCTACCAGAGCTCCCTTATCCTATAAGTATAAGATAAGTTATTGAGACCCACCAATAACTGACAATAATTAACATGTTATAATCTAATTATTGTAGGAGCTCTGGTAGCGTAATGCCTAAGGCATTTGATGGCTAACCAGAAGATTGGCAGTTCAAACCCACCAGCCACTCCTCGGAAGAAAGGTTGGGCTATCTACTTCTGTAGTGACATTGCCTCAGAAACCCAAGGCTGGGTGACTATGAGTTGGATCCGACTCAATGGCACATAACAACAACAACAACCTAAATTGTTTTAGTGTTGTATATTCAGTCTCCAAATACGTCATTTAACCCAAAACTGGCATCCTTATTAGTACTACCAGCATTTCCATGTAATATTTTGTTGTTGTTGTTGTTGTTATATACCAGTGAGTCAGATCCGACTCATAGCGACCCCTCCTTGGGTTTCTGAGGCAGTATCACTATGGAAGTAGATTGCCCAGCCTTCCTTCCGAGGAGTGGCTGGTGGGTTTGAACTGCCAGCCTTCTGGTTAGCAGTCAAGTGCCTTAGGCACTACGTAGTATTTTAGAGCCTCCCAAAATGCACACCTTTGTCAGGGAGATTTTGAGTGCCTACAAAAGTTTATTAATCTTATATAAAGTAGAAGAAACTAGGCCCTGTCAGATGAGCAGCAGTAAGGTCAAAATGATAGGCATAAAAGAGCAATGCATAATCCTCAAATTTTTCATGAGAGACTGCTTTACAATTTAAATGTTTAAGATTTAAATGTAAGAGGCTGTTTTAGACTGTTTGTGGGAAGTTAATTCATTAATGCCCTCTGTCTGGAGTTCTGTTAAATGGATTTTTAAGTAAATGATTACTCTTGCTGTTTTATGAAACAGTGTCAAATCTGTGAACATGGGTGGGTAGATATGTATTAATGAGAATGTGGGTATATTTACATAAAAGCAAACAATAGGAGATAATTAAGGATGTTCTAACTTGCTATAAACAGTTTGCATTTCTGAGTACAAAATGAAAGTGATTGGAACTGTTTAATTTCCAGATTGAAGACTACGATGTGATAGCTAGCATGATAGGAGCCAAGTGTAAAAAACTCCGGACGCTGGATCTGTGGCGATGTAAGAATATTACTGAGAATGGGATAGCAGAGCTGGCTTCCGGATGTCAGCTTCTGGAGGAGCTGGACCTTGGCTGGTGCCCTACTCTGCAGAGCAGCACTGGGTGCTTTGCCAGACTTGCACACCAGCTTCCGAACTTGCAGAAACTCTTTCTTACAGCTAACAGGTCTGTGTGTGACACAGACATTGAAGAACTGGCAGGTAATTGTACCAGACTACAGCAGCTGGACATATTAGGTAAGGATACAGTATATAAATTGGATTTAAATCCTGTTTCTCTGATAGAAAACCTAATTTCAAATTTTTTGCAAGAAAAAGAAAAAAAAAAGACTTCTTAGATAGAATAAAAATGCTGTCTTTGTAAGACTGCTTGGCTTGATAGAAAATACAAGATAGAGCAATTGATTAGATAGTAATTAATTACATATGTACTTAAGTAAAATAGGACTTGAAGCACTGCCAGCAGCAGTTTTCAGTACTGAATGCAATATTGGTCAATTGAAAATGCCTAAGCTTGTTCACAGCCTTGATGACAATAACAAAATTTTATAGTTGAACCTTTCAGAAAGTTCTAAATAACTAATTTTTGGTCTGGTGGGAAGAGTGAGAATATAAATGACATGTGGTCTCCATTTTTATGAAGGACGGAAAAGATGAAATTAATTTGTTTAATGAATTCAAGTTAGATAAGAAAATCATCTTGATGTTAAATTCTTGTTAATCAAGGGTGTAACATCAAGACGCTTTTCTTATAATATCATAATATTCTTGTAATATTGTGAAATTTCTTTGCTGATAATCCTAGTTTGTAGAAATAGTTCTATCCCAAGGCAAATCTAGGGAAAATCTTTTTCTGGTTTTGGGATTTCAGTTCTGGGTCCTTACTGCAGACATCAGCAGTGAAGCCTGTGAGATGTTACTTTTTATATTAGCCTAGGAGCCCCCAGCACCACAGGGATCATTGCCCACACAGTTGGTGCTGTGTGGCCCCACAGAGCACTCGCACTGTGTCCTCTGGTAATCTGTTAGTACTACCATGAAGTGCAAATAATCTGCCCACCAAGTGCTTATATTGCCTTTCCTACAATAGGAAAGCCAGAAGCATTTTCAGCACCTGTGTTTGTGGTGTCAGTTAAAATCTCTCCACAGTCCAGGTTTATGAAACATTTGTGAATGGGGTTCCTTATTCAATCTATTTGTAGGCAGAAATTCTTGAGTACCTATTATCTGCACACTTTGTTCTAGATACTTTATGTTATAATTTACTTAATCTTCACAGTTCAGGAAGTTGGATATTATTATTTCACAGATGAGGGGACTGAAATTCAAAAATACACGGGGGTCCCAGGAGTTAACAAACAGGAGAGCAAGCGTTCATACCCACAATTTCTTTTTGCTGCATGGTCAATACTCCTTTTTTCGAGACACCACACCTACTTACTTTGCTTATTTCTTTTCCTTCCTACCCTCCTTTTGCCTTTGAATTAGACTCTTTTATAAGAGGAATATTTTGAAAAGTTTAGGGTGAAGGACGAAAGGGCCTATTAGATTACTAATACCAACAGGCTTCATGTAAGAGATTGGTGCTACTGTTGCTTAAAATCTATTTTACAACTAACTCCTTAAAAAGAAAAAAAGGCATCATACAGTAGTTCTCAAAACAAAATATCTGAAAAATTCTACAGAGCCAAAAAAGAACTCAGTAACACTGATCCTAAAACAAATGCATGCACATAATGAACAGTGGCATCAGTTGACCAGTGGCCTTTTGCGCTAGTAAATGTATGAATTACTTTATGTAAAAGAAAAATAGGTAAGTATAATGACTTCTTTTTAAAAAATATTTTATTGTTGTTAAACTATACAACAAAGACATACAGAAATTCAGGTTTTTACATGTAAAATTCAGTGACAGTCATTACCTTCTTTGAGTTGTGCAACCATTCTCATCCTCCTTTTCTGGGTTATTCTTCCCTCATTAACATAAACTCATTGCCCCCTAAGGTTTCTATCTAATCTTTTGAGTTGCTGTTCTCAATTTAATGCCATATAGTTTGATTTAAAAGAGCATAATGCCCAAGGCAGATATTCTTTACTAGTGAATTTAAAGTATTGCTTGCTTTTAAGAAGACTTCAGGGGATATTTTTGGTTTAAGGTTTAAAGATGATCTCAGAGCAGTAGTTTCAGGGGATCATCCAGCCTCCATGTCTCCAGAAAAATCTAGATTTCATAAGAATTTGAACTTCTGCATTTTCCCCCTTTTGATCAGGATTCTTCTATAGAACCTTTCATCAAAATGTTCAGTGATGGTAGCTGGACAAAATCCAGTTCTTCTGATCTCCTGACAAAGGAGGCAGTTGTTCATGGAGGCTATCAGTCACACATTCCCTTTTCTCCTGTTCCTAACTCTCCTTCTTCCTCTGTTGCTCCAGGCAAATAGAGACCAATTGTTCTTGGTGGGCTGCTTGCAAGCTTTGAAGACCCCAGGCACTATGCAGCAAAGCAGCAAATGAAGAGGTAGAACACAAGCATTAAACATATTGATGGGGCTAATTAACAGGGACCATGAAACTATGACCCTGAACTTCCAAACCAGGAGCTTTGGTAGCGTAGTGTCTAAGGCACTTGACTGCTAGCCAGAAGGCTGGCAGTTCAAACCCACCAGCCACTTCTCGGAAGAAAGTTTGGGTAATCTACTTTCGTAGTGATACTGCGTTGGAAACCCAAGGAGGGGTCACTGTGAGTTGACTCCAACTTGATGGCACATAACAACAACAAAAAAACTTGTAAACCAAGGAATCCCATGAGGTGTTTAGTTATACATAAACAGCCTGAGCAGCTACTCTTTTGTTGTTGTTGTTGTAAATAAATTTATCACACAACTTTTTATAGGTGTCCAACTTATTGATAGCTATTACAATAACTGGCTATGCAACTCTACCCTTAAACAATTTTTCCATCATTGTAAACCGAAACACAGTACTCCATAAGTAATAATCTCACCTCTCCCCTTCTCTTCTACCTCTGATAACCAGTAATAAACTTTAGTCTCTATACATTTGCCTATTCTTGTCTTATAAGTCAGATTATACAATATTTGTCCTTGTATGACTGACTTATTTCACTCAGTGTAATGTCTTCAAGCTCCATCCATATTATAGCATGTATCAAGACTTTATTTCTCTTCTTAGCTGAGTCGTATTCCATTGTATGTCTACACCACTTTTTGTTTATCCATTCATCCAGTGATAGGCAATTGGCTTGTTTCTACCTTTGGCTGTTGTGAATAGTGCTGTAATGAAGATTGGTGTACAAGTATCTATTTGAGTCTCTGCTTTTGTTTTTTGGGTATATGCTTAGAAGTGGAATTGCTGGGTCATATGATGGTACTATTTTTAGTTTTTTGAGGCTGCCCCAATGTTTTCCACAAGGGCCGTACCATTTTGCGTCCCACCAGCAAATGGACAAGGGCTCCAATTTCCACACATCCTCACCAACCAGCATTTGTTATTTGCTGGTTTTTGTTTTTTAATCTTAGCCATCCTAGTGGGAGTGAAATGGTATCTCATTGTGGTTTTGATTTTCATCTCTCTAATGAAAATGGCTAATGGCATTGAGCATCTTTTAATGTGTTTGGTGGCCATTTGAATGTCCTCTTTAATGAAATGTATATTCAAGTCCTTTGCCCAATTTATGATTAGGTTATTGCCTTTTTGTTAAGTTCAAAGTTATTTGTATTTTTGGTTATTAGAATCTTATCAAATATATTGTTTCAGAAAATATTCTCCCAGTTGGTAGCTGATCTTTTCACTTTTTTGATACAGTCTTTTGATGAATGGAAATTTTTAATTTTTATGAGGTCCCATTTATCAATATTGTCTTTTGTGATTTGTGCTTTTGTTATTATATTAGATGATCCATTGTTAAAAGCTAGCCATAATAGCATTGCCCCTGCTTGTTCTTGTATGAATTATATGGTTTTACTTTTCACATTGAGGTCCTTAATCCATTTTGAATTTGTTTTTGTGTATGGTGTGAGGTATGGATCTTATTTTCCCAGCACCATTTATTGAACAAACACTTCTTTCTTCATCGAATGGATTTAGCATATTTGTCAAAAATCAGTTGACCATACATGTGTGGGTTTATTTCTGGACTCTCAATTCTATTCCTTTTGTCTGTCTGTTGTTATACCAGCACCAGGCTGTTTTGATTACTGTAGCTGTATGATATTTTTAAAATCAAGAAGTATGAGTCCTCCTGCTTCGTTCTTCTTTTTCAGAAGAGAACAGTGTTAGCTGTTTGGGACCTCTTGTCATTCCATATAAAGTTAAGAATTTGTTTTTCCATTTCTGTAAGGAAGGCTATTGGAATTTTGGTGGGGATTGTGTTCAATGTATAGATCGCTTTGGAAATAATGACATATTAACAATTTTAAGTCTTCCAATCCATGAACATGGAACACGTTTCCATTTTTTTAAGTCTTCTTTAACCTCTTTCAGCAATGTTTTATAATTTTCATTAGATAAGTCTATCACATCCCTCATTGGATTTATTCCTAGATATTTTATTCACTTAGACGCTATTGTAAATAGAATTATTTCCCTAATTTTCCTTTAAGATTTCTCATTGCTGTTACATAGACACCCAACTGAGTTTTGTTTGTTAACTTTGCACCTTGCACCTTTTCTTTATTCCTCTATTAGCATCAAAAGTTTTCTTGCAGACTCTTAAGGATTTTTTGTATTTAGGATCACACCATCCATAAATAGAGATAGTTTTACTTCTTTTCCAATCTGGATACCTTTTATTTCTTGTTTTATTGCTCTGACTAGGAATTCTAATACAATATTGGATAGATGTGGTGAGAGTGGGCACTCTTGCCTTGATAATGACTTCAAAAAAAAAAAAATGTTAACTTTCATGAGCATAAGGAACTCTGGTGGTGTAGTGATTGAGGCGTTTGGATGCTAACCAAAAGGTCAGTGGTTCAAACCCACCAGCTGCTCCGTGGAAGAAAAATGAGGCAATTTGCTTCTGTAAAGATTTACAGTCTTGGAAACCCAATGGGGGTCGGTCACTATGAGTCAGAATCAACTCAATGGCAGTGGGTTTGGTTTGATTTTGGTTCGTAAGCATAAGAGGAAGGCAGTGTCATTTTCTACTACACCATAACTATGTATAGATGGAAGACAGTTATCATACAGATATATTTAAACATCATGTTTCAGCTATAAAGAGCACAGTAAATAATATCAGTAGTGACCAATAATTAATTATTAATAATAACAGCAAATTTACTGTTATATACTATTCTCAGCATGTATTAACTGATTTAATTCTCAAACAACTCTATGAAGTCGCTACCATTTTAGCCACAGATAAGGAAACTGAGGCTCAAACAGGTTAAGTGACTTGCTCAGTTCTCACATGTAATAAAAGTGGAATCTAGATTTGAACTAATATGTGCTCCTAACCACTATGCTGTGTTTTCTGTATTTAATATTTTGTTACTGATTTTTTGTTTCCTTTGATCCTTAAGAGGCAGAATCCTTCCTCTTCTTCCACCATTCTTTTTAAGGATTCTTTGTTAAGCCAGGATGATAATTATTATTTTATTTGTCATTTTGTGATTAGAACATATGAATGATAAGTGGCATACATTTTCATACTGACAATGCTTATTGATCCTCAGTACAAAGTTAAGTTAAATGCAGTTTCTAACTTCAGACTTTATAACATGGCATGACAGAGTAAAATGAATATATGTAGAGCTGTAATGCAAGCCAGAGGCAAGTCCATTTTGATGGGGTGCAAAGAAAAGAGAGAATATATATGATTAGAGCAATAAGGAAAAGCTTTATTTAAAAGACTGATAGATATTTGAAAGAGATCCTTGAAAAGTGAATAGGAAGAAGGGAAAGGAGGGCATTTGACACAAAAGGAATAACATGAAACAAAAGCATAGAACTTGAAAATACAGAATGTCTTCAGAGAATAGACGATTTAATTTGACCTACAATGGCAATATAATGGAAGCATTTGTGGAGAGTTTTGAACACTAGAGTTAGGAATTTGTACAAAATTAAACAAGGAAGAGCTATTACAGGGCTTTAATTATGGAAATGAATGATATACTCAGTGCCATGGTCTAGGAATATTAATCTGAAAAAAGTAACAGGTGAATTGGAAAAGGAGGAGCTCAACATCACAGAGATTAGCTGTAATAATCATGTAATGAGGGTCCAAACCAGGATGATAGTTGGGAAATTATAACCATCTATCCCTTCATTCTTTCATTCATTACATATTTATTGAGCATTTAGTGTTTCACGGATTGTTTTAAGCAATGGAAATACAATAGTGAACAAGACATATATGGACCTTGCCCTGAAGAAATACACGGGCTCTGAAAACATAACTATGTTATAACTAGATAACAAAACAAAAACACACAATGCTCTAGAAGCATAGGACAGGGGACCTGAGCCTAATTAACTTTAAATCTGCTGACTTCCTTTTCTGGCACTCATTCCTCTAGGCTTTGGGAAACTCCTAATTTATCAAGAGACTCAGAATCTAATGGGCAAGACTGACGAATAAAAAACAGATGATCACAACCCTGGTGAAAAACACCTAGTTTTTTGATTGAGGGTCTCTGATCTTCCAAAAGAGAAGCCTGATTGAGATAACTTAAGCAAAGAAAAAAACAATTATATATATATATACACATATATATATATATATATATATGAAAAATACAACAAAAAGAAAAAACCTCACTGCCGTCAAGTCAGATCCAACTCATAGTGACCCCTCCTTGGGTTTCCGAGGCAGTATCACTACAGAAGTAGATTACCCAACCTTCCTTCCAAGGAGTGGCTGGTGGGTTTGAACCACCACCCTTCTGGTTAACAGTCAAATGCCTTAGGCACTATGCCAAAAAAAAAAAAAAAAATTCACTGCTGTCAAGTTGATTCTGACTCATAGCAACCCCCATTGAGTTTCTAAGGCTATAAATCTTTATGGAAGCAGATTGCCTCATCTTTCTCCCATAGAGCAGCTAGTGGGTTTGAACCACCAACCATTTGGTTAGCAGCCGAAAGCTTTAACTACTATGACACCAGAGCACCATATATTTATATATATGTAAAATGAAAGTGCAGGTATATATATATGGTCAGACCTCAGGAAAGCCTTGAAAACCATCAAAAGGTAAGGAAGCTTCCCCCCTCCCTTTCTATCCTGCATGTCCAAGTGTGTGTACACACAGTACAACACACACACACACCCTGCTGCTGTGTACTTACCATGACATTTATGTCTGCTTTTCCCTTTGGGTTTGCCTTGTTCTTTTCTCATCATTCTGACTGCCATTGGTTCTCTGAGTGAACATGGCCAGATATAGCAGTCCCAACCCAGCTTTATGCATGCTTAGCTCAAGGGATCTGTGGACACTGAAGACTTCACTGAATCACAATCTTAAATTCCCAAGAGAGTTTGGATTGGTTTTCCTTGGTCCAGTCATAGCTGGGATAGCAGTACAGATGCAGCTTCTGGAACCCATGGTGGGGAGGAGACTAGAAAGGAATTCTCAGAGGAAAAGACATAGATTAACATTTCAGAACTTTTAATGCCCCTCCCAGTTGATAGGAGCTCTGGTGGCATAGTGCCTAAGGTATTTGACTGGTAATCAGAAGGCTGGTGGTTCAGACCCATCAGCCACTCCTCAAAAGGAAGATGGGGCAATCTACTTCCATAATGATACCACCTCAGAAGCCCAAGGAGGGATTGCTTTGAGTCCAATCGACTGGATGGCAGTAAGTTTGGTTTTTTTGTTTTTGGTTGCCTAGGTGATATGTAGGAGCTCTGGTAGTGTAGTGCCTAAGGCACTTGACTGCTAATCAGAAGGCTGGTGGTTCCAACCCACCAACCACTCCTCGGAAGGAAGGTTGGGCAATCTACTTCCATAGTGATACCGCCTCGGAAACCCAAGGGAGGGGTCGCTATGAGTTGGTCTGACTCCACGACAAATAACAACAAGAAGTTGATGTATGTATATGTAGTACAATTGTGCTTAAAGTGATATATGTTTTACAACAGGTGATATTTTAGAATCAAGTAATATTTGGTATGGAATATCTGCCATGTATCAGGTGTTTTACATATATAATTTAATTTCCAACTGAATATTTCATGATTGCTTTAAATTTAATGTAGTCTACATAGAACTCACGGAGCTCTGTTGGTCTAGTGATTAAGCACTAAGCTGCTAACTATGAAAAGTTGCCAGTTCAAACCCTCTGCTGCTCCACAGGAGAAAGATAGGGCAGTCTGCTTCCATAAAGATTACAGTCTTCCTTTTAAGAACTATTTATATGAGATCAGATTTACAACAGCAACTTGAAATGTTGGATAGGAACCTTAGAGGATAGTGAATTTACGTTAATGAGGGAGGAACAACTCAGAAAAGGTGGGTGAAAGTGGCTACATGGCCTGAAGGAGGTAAGTAGTGTCACTGAGTGGTGCTTGTAGAAGTGGGTGAATTGGTCTGTATTTTGCTGTGTATATTCTCAACAACAACAACAAAGTAAATAAAATTTTGAAAGAAGAAGGAATACAACCTTGTGATCTATAGAGCAGTTCTACCTTGTCCTACAGGGTCACTATGAGTTGGAATCAACTTGATGGCAACAGGTTTTGGTTTAAATAGAACTTACCATCCATCATCTGTCTTCCAGTGGTACCATTTTATTTCTACCATTACTGTACTTTAAAACTCATCAAAAAAAATTGTATTGCTGTTATTTACTTCAACTCTGGTCATTGAGTTTCTTATGACAAAGACCTGTCTTGTCCATCTTTGCATCTACAGTGCCTGTAACAGAGGTTTCTACAGGGCAGTTTCTGTGTAATTGCATTGCATGGAATTGGAGGTTGAATCGTTGTAAGCTTTACTGGCTGATTTGACCCTAGATTAAAGAAAATGAGATGTGAAAACAGTTTTGAACTGGAGTGACAGGAATTGAAAAGTCTGGAGAAGATGATGTGAAGGTGTAGGATGTAGGGATGAAGATGGTGGGTGGAGTATTAACAAGATTGAGGTCCTAAATACCAAACTGGCTGGGAAAACAGAGTTTGGTTTGTTTTGTTTTAACAAAGTCTTTCATTTAAAAAAAAAAAAAAAAAAAGTCTTTTTACTTTCCAAAAGATAGTTTATTTTAAATGCATTTCAAATAATAAAAGAATTCATTATTAGGACATCATATGAATGTTATACTTAAAGTGTGTTGTTTTGTTTTGAAAACAGGAACAAGAATGGTAAGTCCGGCATCCTTAAGAAAACTCCTGGAATCTTGTAAAGATCTTTCCTTACTTGATGTGTCCTTCTGTTCACAGATTGATAACAGAGTTGTGCTAGAACTGAATGCTAGCTTTCCCAAAGTGTTCATAAAAAAGAGCTTCACTCAGTGACCTACGATATGTTCTGTAATAATGTACTTTTGTAGAGTTTTATCTTGGGATCGATTTTGTTTTTTTGCTTTGTTTAGTTTGTATAGTAGTGGAAATCAAGACATTTGAAGATTTTAAAGAAAAATATCAGATTGTCCATGAAATCAAGTAAAAATGTAAACATGTTCTCATAAAATATGGCAAACACTTTTCTTCAAGAATGTTTGAGTGGCTGTTAGTGTTTTTACTGTATATTAATCAATGATATTATGCTTCAGACAATAATTACATGTTTAATAAAAGAGTGATATGGAAAAATTTTAACTTATTTTTAAAGGAACACTGAGCAATAAAGTATCATGATATTTATGCAGAAATAAAATTAATTTTCACATCTCCATGTAAAGAATATTGGATGTTTTATTCAGCCTTTCTATGTAACCAGAATTTTGTTTGTTAGGTACAAAATTGTCAGAATTAGTTGAAGAAAGAGACTTAGTTTTTAAACTGATGCATTTGTTGCAAGATATGTATTTTTATTTTTTTTAAGTGGAGTGCTGTCTTAAGAGTATATCTTTAATGATGCAATAATAGATAGAGAAATGCTAAGTGAATTTGTGGTAGAAACAAATAAAAAAGGGAATTACTTGCTTTTCCTGCATGTCATAGTATTAGTGTAAAATGCTTACTGTCATACATATCATTCATAATTAATAATGAAGAACCTCAAGTATGCTGCTTCTGTTTCTTTTTATAAAGTAGGCATCTTCTTAGTGCACTGGGTTATGTTGAATTTTGCCCTGTCTGCTTATCATCTAAAACTCACCAAAGACAGAAAAAAATGTTTCCACGATTCTTCCTTAAATTGGTTACTTAACTGGTATAAAAAGTAAACCCCTTAATTTTTTTTTTCTTGGTAGAATACACCCATCATGAATTAATTTACAACTTGAAAATGTTTCATTTTCTCACTTTTATTCTATAAATTTATCTATTTCACTACTGATCATGCCTGTATAAAGATATGGGCATAATCAACAAAAGGTAAACTACTAAATGGATTAGTTTTCCAATTGTTAAACAGATGCCTTAAAAGTTTGCAAAAGGGAAGGATGTAAGACTTGTGAATTCAATCTGAATTTTTTATATATATGTTTTCTTCTGCCCCCACCACCTTTTAAATATCAGTACAGTCGGGAGAAGGGGCAGACAAAATTTGTTTTGTTAAATTATGAATTGATTTAGCTCCACTACTAAGAAAGTAGACAGAAAATATTTGTGACCTGAAAAGGCGGGACTATTTTGAATTGCTATTGTTGTTCGATGCCATAGACCTGACTGTGAGTCATAGCAACCCTGTGTACAACAGAACAAAAACACTGCCAGGTCCAGCGCCATCCTCACAACACTTAACTATGCTTGAGATCATTGTCGCACCCTCTGTGTCTGTATCTTGTTGAGGATTTGTAGTATAACAAAATTCATTTTGCCACTTGGGGCAAGATGTTATAGTCCAACATTTACATGCGCTAGAAGGATCCTGTAAAACTGTACTGTCCAGAAGAATAGCCACTAGCCATGTGTGGCTATTTTATTTGATTTTAATTAACTGTAATTTGATTACAAATTCAGTGCCTCATTTGCACCAGCCACATTTCAGGTGTTCGGTAGTCACTTGAGGTTGGTGATTATCATATCAGATAGCATTTTTCACAGAAGGTTCTATGAGACAGCACCACTCTAGAATTTCTTGTTTTATAAGATGTATTCATTTTCTTTTTTAAAAAAGCACATTTAATTTAAAAATGAGCACAGTTAAAATATATATTTAGGCAAATTGTCATATCTATGAATGCTTTTTCCCAAAAAATGAAAAATAAATTTATCCAATTTATCCATGTGGCCCATAGTGGGCATTCAGTAAATATTTATTGACTGAATAGAATATATTACTGAGTTTAGCCATATAATGTCAAATTTTAAAAATATAAATGTGATACATTATTACCAGTAGTACTGTATTTACTGTTTTTTTAAAAAATATAAAACTATGTTGTTGTTGTTGTTGTTGTTGTTATGTGCCGTCGAGTCAAACCTGACTCATAGCGACCCCTCCTTGGGTTTCCGAGGCAGTATCACTACGGAAGTAGGATTGCCCAACCTTCCTTCCGAGGAGTGGCTGGTGGGTTTGAACCGCCAGCCGTCTGGTTAGCAGGCAAGTGTCTTAGCCACTATGCTACCAGAGCTCCCATAAAACTATAATGTTGTGATATTTAAAATATTAAAAGATTAACATAATCTTTACTCCACGTAGAAAACCGTCCATATAAGTAATTGCTATCCTGGGGATACCCCTAGTATTCCCCACCCTGTCATCTCTTGGATGAAAGAAGCAAAGGGTAGTTGGCAAAGGGCTTGGCTGTCCTTCATCATCATTTTTATGTGCTGGGATATTCGTTTCATCCATGAATGTATGTCAACATTTTAATATTGTATTCAGCGGACCTTTCAGGGGATGCGATACATAAGTTTATTGCTGACTATAGAAGAAGTAGTTTTATCATAAACTAACAGCTGACATTGACTTAATGCTTGCTTTGTTCTAGCCACTGCTGTAGGTGCTTTTACTGCCGTTGTTGTTGTTAGTTGCCATTGAGTCAGTGTGCAGAGTAGAGCTGCTCCATAAGGTTTTTAAGGCTATGACCTTTAGGAAACAGATCACCAGGCCTGTCTTCCGAGGCATCACTGGGTGACTTTGAACTGCCTTATGCTTAACCATTTTCACCATGCAAGGACTCCATTACTATCTCTATTTATAGGTGGGGAAGCTGACAAAAAGTTTGAGGAATGTACTCATGATCACATTAATGTCACATACTTACATTAATCCACAAGAATATGATTTTAACTGAGTATGTTCATCACTTGAAAGGTATTCATAGAGTTAAGATTCTTTCTTAATATCTCCCCTTTTTTTTTTTTTTGGCATGTTATTATATTGCCTATTACCATTGCCCATTGAAGGTTACATGGAACCTTCTCACCTAACAAATTCTCAGTTGCACAATTAAGTGGATTTGAAAAATGGAAATTTCCTTTGCACTTCCTTCAAGGCCCAAAAGATGATGCTGGAACTATAGTTTGAGCTCAGAAGATATATCTGTTGCAAATTTATGTGGGAATAGAGATCTTGCTGTTTATTTTATGTATTGGCAGCACAGGACATATATAAAGCATCCTGATGTTACTTACGATTCACACTTAAGTATACTTCACATGTAAACACTGTTTTTACCTTGTAATTTTTGCTTAAGTTCACTACAAAACATTATCGAATCTGTAGCAAAAACTAATTTACAAAGCCATTTAGCATTCAGTAGTAATGGTTGAGAGCACTTCTCATTCAGAAAAATTTCAATATTGGCCTTGGGCTCAAAAAAAATCACAGTAAAACTATTCCTGCTTAACCAGCAGACCACTGTGTGGTAGGAGAAATCTAGACATTCAGTTTCTATAGCTGGCTATGGAAAATGGAGCTGATAGTAGCAACTAAAGTTCCCTGTTGACATTACTGGTTTAGTAACACAAGACCAAGTCAACTATATTCTGCAGAGTATCTGCTGATGAATACGGTAAATAGCCACAGGCCTTACATACTTTACATTTAAGTAAAGCTTTGTAAATTTGACCAACTAGGCTTTTTTGTTGTTGTTCTGCCCTTATTTTTTGTCAATATCAGTTGTAACACATCTTAGCAGATTCTACTTCAGGTTGTACTGAACTCATGTGTTCTCTAGTTTTAGAAAATATTCTCACCTGTAATTGTCACACACAGATTATTCATAGAGACTAACTCTTCAGTCACTCCAAATTTGGCATTGACTCATCAAATAAACAACTACTGAACAGTATCAGTAACATCTGTTGACTCACAAGAGCCAAGGAAAGCCACTCAAAATCATTTGCCTTGTTTTTTGTATTTATTGAATATTGATGTTGTCCCCCGTGTTCTTAATTCTTCAGCTGTTCTTGCCAAAAGGCTAATAGTCTTAAACAAATTTGTTTACTCTGGACACATTTCTTCAGCTGCTGCAATCAAACAATTTAATTAACTCACCATTGGTAAAAGGCTTTTTCTTGCTTGGCTAACAAATGAACCACTTGGAAACTTACTTTGGCCTCAGCTTTATTTTCATTTTGTGTAAAGACGTTCTGTGATGAGATATATTGGTTTAAATTTTCTAATTTTTCTGGCCACTGCATTCCTGTGGATTGAGAATATTGTGATGAGTGCTTAGTATGGTAATTTTGGCATATATATAATTCTTTTAAAATAGACATGGGTTCACCATGAGTTGGAACTGACTAATGAGGATAAATAACAACATAGTGTCACTGGATGTTAAACACAATGCTTTGTCATTTAATAACAAAATAATACATGTTCCATGGTGCTGTAAAAGCATAACATTTAAAGTGCACTTTTTTTTTGCTTCTAGTTTGTCATTATGGGTGTGCACTGGTAATAGAAATATAAAATACTGTGGAATGATGTGTGGTGCTTGAAATTTTGTTGAGTTGTAACTCTATCACTGCAGTTTGTAGTGTGCTAAGCAGCCATGCAAAACGGTGTGAGTACCACATAGGTCTCTGTTGCATCTACCCAACTCTGCCAGTGTAGTGTGAAAGCATCCTTAGACAATGAGAATGAATGAGTATGGCTGTGTGCCAGTAGAATTTAATGGATACTGAAAGTTGAATTTCATATCATTTTATGTCACAAAATATTTTTCTTCTTTTGATTTAATGTTTTTTCACCCATTAAAAAAAATTGTAGAAACCATTCTCAGTTCACAGGCTGTACAGAAACAATGGGCAGTCTGGATTTGGCTTGTGAACATCTGTTGTAGGGTATTCTCAACAGTCAGTAAGTCAGGTTTGCCCATACCTAATTTTATAAGCCACACTGAACCCTCCTCTCAGCCTTTATCTTGCTAATTTCACTCTTTAGATTCTAAAAAGAAATAAATAAGAAACACAGTATTTTATTGACAGACAGAAAACAAAAGTGTTTACCGTAACAGGAGAGAATGTATGTAGACTCTGTATCTGTTCATTAAAATTTGAAGCCAAATGACCCATTGTTGTTAGCATTGCCAACTGACTTAAATTTTTATGTAATTATCACAGCATTTTGCTAAGATACATTATTTTCCCAGTGGCTAGTAATAGATTAATATATGTCTCTGACCTTGTTTGAGAGCATAATTGGAGGATCCTTTCCATTTAAATGACTCTGTAATAAGATCCTAGATGCATACAGTACATAGCAAAACATTTAGACAGTTCATAGTCTTCCTTTCCTGTGGAGTG